TAGAGTGGTTTTCGTTTGAGTGTCGTAAAACCAAAACCAAAGTAATTACTCTGGCCAATCACATAGGACACAGACAATACATTGAACCAATCAAAACTCGAAGTAATTACATGTGGCTGACGCAAAGCGCGGGAAAATCGTGCGAGCGCGTCACAATTGGCTTTGGTTTTACTTCTGATTGGATGAAAAGGTGGCGCGAATCTTTTAAGCCAATCGCATCGTGTAGAAAGTGCAAAACCAATTACTTTTCGACACTCAAATGAAAACCGCTCTATATTGACTCGTGGTCGATTTGAACCCATCTCCCCACCATGGTGGGGTGGGGTGCTTCTGTTGTGCAGTACACGTAACCCTCTCATCTCCCACGTTGCCCGGCGAGACTGAATTACTTCCTATGGTGCTGAGATGACATCAGCAGCAGTGATTATTCAGATCTTGGGACTTCTCTTGCAGCCTCTCAGCTTTACCACCAAGCTTAAGAACGAAATGAGACGTTCGCCACTCAATTTCACGGCCACACGCTGCCTGGAGAAAGAACACTATCCAGGAGAACTCCCGGAAAAGCCATGCTAAAAAGAGCTTCCACATAGGTGGCAAAGGGTTGTTGGGCTAAAAAGGGAAAACCAATAAGCAGTCATTCTTCTTTTAAAACCCTAGCTGACATGGAGGGTATTCAATAAGCAGGACAACCCGTTTCGCTGCTTGTCGCATTCGCTACGTCCTAGTTCACAACAAATTCGCCACATATTACTTTCTGTGAACCACTGAAAATATTCCCTTAATCGCTCTAGAAAAAAAAAATCTTTTAATATGTTTATCGTTCTTTTAAGCTTGCCCCTCCGAGGGAGTAAGTTTTGGACTTTGCCAATAGGCAGCGACACGAATACGTAGATAGCGAACTCGAACGTAGCGAGCAGGACTCGGAAAAATTTTCGTCCAGTAGTCGGGGACAAGTAGATTTTCTCGTTGCTGCGCAAGTAATCTTTAAAGCTCACTTGCCCCAGGAAAGTCATCCTCTAACAAAAACATAAACTAAGACGAGCAAGAAGTGGCCCTTGGAAAGTAAAATGTGAGAGTTACTTGCCCAAAGGACAAGCTGGAATTCAAGTTTTTTCGAACCGTTACCCTGATAGGTTTGCGGTCCAGTCGCCCGAGAGTCATTTCGCCCGAAATCTTTAGTCAAGTCGCCCAAAAATTTATCATGCCTAGCAATATCATAACATCTTCATCGCGCACGTCAAAGGGAAATGGACTTTCACAACTTGGGCAATAGTTTTGCTCAAATTTTTGGGCAAACTGTCTCCATAACAGTTAAAACCGTTAGCAAAACAAATTGGTAGAGTCAAAGCATATCAAAAGGGAAAAAGCAAAACTTCCGGTTGAGGTGCGTCCTCAAAATAACCTCTCTTCCAGCTCTTCATTAACATGACACTGAGTGCTCTAACTTCACGGTCGTCCACTCGTTAAAAACAAGTAAAAAAATCTCACAACGAAAAGGTTTCTTTCCGACTAGTCCTCTGGACGAGTAGAGGTATCACTCTGAGAAATACATGAAATTTTTTTTGGTATCGTACCAAAAAGTGGTAAAAGCCTTGAAACAAACGAAGAATTGCCAAAGGCAAACGTTTCAACAACGAACAGGCAAAAAAGTGCTAGGCATTCTCTTGCCGAATAAGTCCGGGTTCTACTTGAAACAAAATCCCCTGTGGGATACAAGATGGGGGCTTTTGTAATTTCGTTTCGAAGGTTCGTATCTGTTTTCCTTTGGTGAATTAAAACGTGAGCCAAAGTATGTTGAACTGAGTGGATTGGAACGAAAAAAACTGAAAATGATAAAAGTGATCGGTAGTTTTGCTAATGGACCAGAAAATTTTATCCTACTGGTCCTGCGGAAGACCAGACCCAAAAGTTAATTTCGAGCACTGATGACTAACAAAGAAAACTCACTCACCCCCTGAATACATCTGAGTAAGATAAAATCCAAGACAAACCACACCAAGATGTGTTTAATGAACATAAGAGCAGCACTGAACTCCCATAAATAGGACATAGCCCAGCTGGCGAGCAAACCAATTACAACACTCTCAGTTAGAGGTTCAAATATGGCCGGAAAGGGTTCCATGGTAAGACGTAACCTGGTCCATCTGCAATAGAAGCCGTTATACAGACATTTACTATAAAGACACGAATGAAATACCAAGGGAGCTTTCATTTATATGATCAGTAGAATATTACACCGCTACTTGGAGATAGGAAATTTCTCTTCTTGTAATGAAAATACAAAATCTTGTGCAAGATCTTGAAGAGCTCCAGAAACGATGACATTTTCAAAAAGCAACTCACACATGCGCATTCTGTTTCCTGACAGTTTGCCTTGGATATGTCACCGAAGTGAATTGACCGAGAAGGCCTGGGAAAACGCAATACAGGAACTATATAATATTTACTAGTCTACGTATAAACCTACCTGACCATTCTTTGTTGGTATCTTAGAAGAGAGTAATGACTTGGATTCTGCATGGCTGGATCACAGCTAAGAATTACTTTCATTCCCCTGTGAGAATTAATGTGATGATCAAATACGTTATTGTCACTCATCTTTGTGGGACTTAATTTTCACTATTTTAAACAATACAAATTAAGATACCTGGAAAAAAAAACGCTTTGGTAAAATAAACGACTCAAAAATTTTTTAAATGAAGATTCCCTACAGCTCTCTTCTTTGAAGATACAGTTGCCATGGAAACCAAAAGCTGTTACTGCTTGTGCAGTGATTTTGTTAGCTCTGCGTCCTGCATCCCTGACGCATAAAAATCCCCAAATAATTCATGGCATGCCTCCCATAGGACGCAAAAGATCAATGTATTGATTTGAAATTGTGTATTTGTAGACATATCCGGCCTGTTTGCGTAATTTCTGTGGCATTTATTACGACTGTTGTTTAAGGATGCATATTTCTTTTAGCCTCTGTTGTGCATTAAAATAGAAGAACTATATTTTAATTTCAGTGTACTGTAATACAGACTTTTGGAGTCTGTCTCCAGACTAACTATCTGATTACATAAAGGCCCAAGTATTTTCAATCCCAGATTCTTTATTTTTTAACTGGGACTCATTGGTTCTGGACTGGGACTCATGATTTTCACAAGATGAGTCTCAGGATTCACCATAACTATTTGTAACAAAATCACTGCTTATGTTCTGTTATTGTGATGTTGGGTTGGTAAAACATCAATATGTTTTTGCATCAAGTTTAAGTCTTGTAAAATTGTTTTATTAATCTCTTCCATTTTTATGAATGTGCCCTGTAAATAGAAATAGCCTCTAGATTATCGCAATTCTTTAGAAGTCTGTTAAGCTATTATTCATTGGCGACTAGTTTGGACAAACAGCATAGTGAACTAACCTATTGAATATAGCTTTAGATATGAAATAATCTTCTGCAATGTAGCAAGAAAATACCTCCAGACCACCTGTATGCAAAATACGCAGAGAAAAAAATCAATGATGTTAACCAATTTACTAGTAGTCTTTTGTAATGAATGTGGAACCAAAGATAAGTACATCAACAAGGTTCACGCAAAGAAATGTACAAAAAAGTGTGATGCACGTGCAAAAATGTTATTTTGCCAATCTAAACCTGTTAGTTTATTGCCGTTCTTCCTGCTGTCGTTGTCGTCATTGCTTAAGCTCCCTATTGGCTGTAGCGAGATGAACTTGAAAATCTTCATACTCCACTTGGCTACACCTCATGCAGTATCTTTTTTTTTTAAATTTTCTTCTTTTTTGAACAGCAAGTGCATGCATTTATTACAGGTAAAGAGTCACATCAACTTCTGACCCTCACATAATTATTGATACTAGTAGCACACATTAAGCTCTAGTTTCTGTTCTTAACCCTTAAGTCCCAATAGTTACCAAGATCAAATTTCTCCAAACAATATCCATACACTGTTAAGAGATAAGTTATGAGAATTAATAAAATAATCACACAAGAGAAAATGCCTTGATCTATTATCAAATTCTCTCTACTTATTCTTTAAGGAAATGTATAGAGATCAGTTTGGAGAATTTGTATGTGGATACTGGGGTTTAAAGGGTTAATAAGTTATCAAAGCATGTACCTAATTCATCTAGAAGTGGTTTACTGTACAGGCTTGACATTCCATTAGCACACAGAGTTCCCAGGCTGTAAGCAAGCAGGTAGACAAATGCATGCTGGGTTCCAAAATATACCTGTTGAGAGTTGTTCATTAGGATTATTATCATGGCAGTCTTGATAAACCTGCATCTTGTTCTATTGTGAAAGGTTTGAACCCAGGAGTCATTTCAAAAGTAGGTTGAGTTTGATTGTCTGGGTGAACGTAGTCCTGAACGGAACTGTTGTTGTTGACAGTGACTGATGTTTTGACAACCTATGCGATAGTCATCTTCAGAGTCAAAGTGAGTTGTATCACGTCAGTTCATGGTATTATACTCTGGTTATTGATCTGATTGGTCAATTACGTTGTGATGTTATTGGCCGTCTGTCAGTTAAGCCGTGATGATAACTATTGGCTGTGAAGACTCCTAATTAATATCTTGTTCTATGTCACTCATAGCAACTGTATTTTAATTTATGGCCAGTATTAGTTGAGAATCAGATGACAGTATATGTTGTAGTTATTATTTTATCTCAGGTAATATTTGTTTGTTCTTTTGTTATTGGCTATGGTGATGTATGCTATGGAAGTTGAAACAAAAGAAGAAATAATAAAAATTACTTGAGATAAAAAAATAATAATAATAACTACATCATATATTACAGGTCACAGCCTCGCTGTCACTTAGGGCCAGGGCCGGGCATTTCTCCTAGCAACTATGAGTATAATCCCCGGCTACTTTCACAGGGAACAAAAGAAAAATAAAACCAAAGGGACTTCCTAGCTGTTCAATTCCCTGCCTACTAATTGGATGTACCCAGCAACTTGAAATTTTAGCAACAGCCCAGAGGTCAAAATTAATCTTATTTCAGGTTAAAATCTTTCGGGTTTGAACCCTTTTTTGAGCAAAAAATTCAACGACTTTTCAAGGACTTTCAAGGACACATTTCCCATTTTTCAAGGACACCATTGACCATTCAGTGCAAAAAGCGCCTTGAGTCTATGTCTTTTTTAGTTCTTTCAGAACATGAGTAATTTTATCCCCAGGGTATTTCTGTGTTTGCTCTTTTTCCTTTGGAGTTCTATTTAAATTATAAAGTTAGGATTGAAATTCAAGGACTTTCCAGCACCGACTACAATTTTCAAGCACTTTCAAGTAAGGGCTTGAATTTGTATTTTAAAATTCAAGGACTTTCAAGGTGTGTGTGAACCCTGAACCCTGAGGTGGTGCGAACCCTGTTCTTTTAACCTAGTTTGACTCTTAATTTCTTTTGTCTTTAAGCAGTAGGAGACAAGGGAAATTGAGAATCAATCTAGGTTAAATCAAAATTAACCTGAAATCAAATTTGATCTGTAGCATATACATTAAAAGAGTTCCACAATCTGAGTTCATGAATATTCTTTTGTATCTCACCTTATCTACACAACCAGCAAAATCCAAGCAGTTAGTAACAAAAGGGATCTGATCAAAGGACAAAAACAAAAGACAAGAAATCATTACTAACTTATACAGTGAGTTTTGATAATTATCTTTCTTTAACTTGTGATCATACACTGTAACTAAAGTAGGTGAGATGATTGGTTTGGCCTGGGTTTACACTGGAATGGCTGTCAGGAATCATGAAGTCACTATACAATAATATTTCATATTAATTTTAGTACCTGATGCACCATTCCGACACCTGGTCCCATATGTGATACTAACTCTGTCAGAGTGCCCTGGTGGACTAAACAGTAATTATCACATTGTTAATGGAACTGATGTGGAGTATAGAATGGAAATGCATTGAATAATATCATTCCGAAAATCATGGCATTAAGAGACTAAGAGAGTGGAAATTCAAAAAGGCGAGAAAAAAAAAAAATTCCATATCATGTGCACCATGTATAACAAATATCCAAGGCTGCAGCCTAATGGGTGTCCAGTTGCCAGAGGCTCTATGATTTGCTGGCAGGTGACTAAAATTTTAAACAAGGAGTCCGTAAGGGCACCTTAAACTTATAGTTCTAATGGCAGCAGCCTCTATGCTTACTTCCAATGAAGGAATGACAGAATTCCCTGCGTATTTTGCGCTTTTGAAACGAAAATGAAAACATGTGTTCGTCGACCGTCGGCAAAAAATTTCCACTGATAAAAGTAAACAAACATGCACTTTTCTAAAAATTCAAAACTTGAATGAATCATGTTTCGAGATGCCTGAATAGAGTTTTGAGCATCTGCTTACTTATTTCAGTTCATCGATCAATTGGTTGCTAAAAATGTGACTCAGGCTCCTAACTTTTTATTTGGGGCTGCCAAAAAATTCTCTTAGGCGGCAGCCTTGACATCATTGTGAAACTAACAGTCATCAATCTGACCATGATAATGGTAATGACCAGGTCCCCAGCACATTGGAAAATCACCCCTTGAGAGCAACCACACTAAAATGTCAAAATGTTTACTTCAAAGTACTACAGTTGGAACCTCCCACAAGCAACCATGACTCGTTGCTGACTGAGACATTTTTTTGGGTTGACAATGTTGTTTATTTTTTACCTCCTAAAGGACTAATTGATGGATGCCAAGTTGCTCTACCAGCACAAGTCAAACAATGCAACAATGCTCAAGCCCTGATAACTCAATGCCTTTTTCTTTTCTTTTTTATTACAAGAGTTTTTTCTTGATATCTGAAGGTTGTTTTATGTACTAGACAACTCAATATATTCAAGGCAGTTTTATTGATGGCATGCAGTGCTTGTACTGTAACTCAGAAATTGCTCACAATAATCTCTCTATAAAACTAATACTAGTAATAGCCAAAGGTTACAGGAGTGCAGGCGACAACAATCGAAGGTCCAAACGCTTTTGCTCCAACACTGTGCTTTGTGTAAGTTTCACGTTACAGATGGTCAAAACCCACATGATCAGACTATGAGGGGTAGAAGGTCGAAACACACGCGATCAAATTGCGTTTTTTGCATTCAATTCATTCTTAGTGGGAGTCCAAATGAATGCTGAACACATACATGCAACGCATGTGTAATAACGACCTGGAGATTAGGATTGCAGGTGACAAGAGGGACCCGCAATAATAAATATTATTTTTGATGAATTGGTCCTGTTCTTCCTTGTGGCCAAACTCTTGTAAGAGAGCACCTCCTGATAATGTAATGTAAATAACTGCTGAGTCTTGACACTTGGAGGGGTTGCATAAGGGCAGTTTGATTGTATTCTTGTTCACGCAGTGAAATTACCTCTAATATTACTGTCACAAATCCACAGAAGGTTATATTTTGCTGCTTTGTAACCTTGGTTCATGTTATTTATCTTTGGATTTACTCCAATTGTCTTAGCAGCTGCCAAAGGAAAAAAAACAATTGATTATAGCATTAAAATTTAAGAGCAAGCATATATATATGTGGTACAGTGTATCAGTTTTTTTAGCTCTCAACCAGTTTCTTAGAACTTATTCAGTTAGATAAGAAACACTCCAAGGAAAATTCTATAAATGTAAATTTATCAGGGTGCAAAGAAAGTCATTTTTACAGTTAGCCAATTGGGCAAGCTGAAGCTAGCATTTACTAGCCCAAAATTTTTTGATGAGCAGAATTGATTTCACAGTTCTTCTGTAAGTTGAATTCCTCAACATACTTCACTTGCCAGTTGGGCAAGTTAAGAACAGAATTCACTGGCCTGATAGCAAAATCCACTAGCCCCGGGCTATCAGACACCACTTTCTTTGCATGCTGATGTATCCTGATGTGTAATATATCAACAACTTATCTATTAATAATATCACTGGTAATACCATATTTATTTCAACTTTCCATCTCAAGTCCCCACACGTTACATTATGAACAACTTTCCGTGTGGAAGAAATCATCAAAATTGTGTCCCTCTTTTAATAACTCATTGCTATCCATTGAGCATTACTTTGCCCTTTTTAGTGGAAAAAAGACACAATAGTATGTTGCTAAGGAACAGCTAGGCACGCTTATTTATTAGCTCTGCTGGATTTTGACTAAACTGCACCTTCAAAATTACCCCATGTCTTTTAGTTTTCTGGCAATGTGTGCCAAAAGTAGCCTGATTCTCAGACGTCAGAGGTCACTCGGCCCCTTCGCTTCTCTCCCTCTCCCAAAGGGGCAGCAAACGACTGCGGATGTCTGAGAATCAGGCGACATCAAATGTAGCTCATTTAGAGCTGGTGAAATTCCCCAGCAGCCAGCTGGGCTCAGCTACATCACAGATGGGAAAAAGGCTTTACGTGACTAATCTGACACTCCTGTCAAGCTGCCTTATATTTGATTGTAAATCAAGCAACACATTTGACGGTCCTTATGCACACAACATTTTAATTACTTTTTACACTACTTACTGTAATTTATATCAAGGGTTTCAATAAAATTTTAAAGCAGGCAGATCGTTTCAGTAGACTAACCGATAAAAAAAAAATTGAAAGTGGCTTTTATTAGTCACCTTATGAAAGGAAAAAAGCAGCTAACTTCTCTGAGCAAAATAGCCAACACTTTTTGTTTGCTGTCATTGCTTATTGAAAAACCATTGTCCCATTATCAATAAAGAAGTTGAAAAATGTCCAGATCTAATGGTTGCCCTACTTAAACTATGAGAATGTTGTTGCATTAATAAACACAGTTAAAATTTAGCTGGCGGCTGAGGAAAATCACTACCAAGTACTTCACTGTTTGGGCTGGCTTCTCTACAGAGCTCTTCCTCTCATTATTTAGTGAAGGATGGTAAAATCAGTTATCTAGCCCAAAAATAAAGCTGCCTAATTAAAATCAAGAACCCTGATTGGTTTTCAAAAATTATACTAAACATAAACAAGGTTGTAAATATAGAGTAGATAAATAAGGCAATTTTAAAATTAGACCACCTCTGGTTAGATGTCCAAATTTCATGGTTCCAAAAAAAAAGGGAAAAAAAAAAGTGCATTGAAAATAATCTACATGTACCCTTGCATGATTGTATCCAAGAAAAAAAAGTGTTTCAATTCAAGAGTAGATTTCATAACCATAAGTTGGATGCATGCCACATATTCATTAGCTTCATTAGGGAGTTTACGCAACAACAAGGGTGAAAGCAGGGAACATGTCACTTAAAAAGTAAATTCTTGCTGTTTCAAACTTCATTGCTATTACTTTCTGTCCTCTAATTTGTCAACTGATTACCTTCCAGAATACATGACAATAATATGTTAACTCTACATTAGACATGGATGTGTTGTGGTTCAATTCCTTGTCCTTGGTTCAAATTTTGTTTTCTTTTTTCTTTGTCAACTTCATTTTCATAATTACATAACCATACCAAAGAACAAAGGAAAATAGAATTCAAACCAAAGACAAAACTGAAACACAAGATGTATTAGCTTATTGCATAGTCTATGCTGATTTCATTAAAAGAAAACTTAAGGACATTTAAAATATATAAAACTGATATACGGTATTATTTGAAAAAGAGTGTAACTATGTACTGCTTTCAAGAAAAAAAATGCCCCAAATAAGTTCAGGCTGAAGAACAAAATAATACAAAAAACATTGTAGTAACATGTGAAAGTTTCTATTTTCATCACTTACAAAGACAGTTTTCTACAAATGGAACAGTAAACCACACAAACAAAGCATGGTAAGCAATGATTCAAATGGTAATTTTTGAGAACTGAGTAAAATTTGCATAATTTGTATCAATCTAGTACCATCTGTTACAACATGAAAGATAATCCCTACACACAAACTGATCCACTTATTTATAAAAATAAAATACATTTCCTTCCTTGTAAGCTCTACTTATATCAAAATAAAAATAAAATGTTATTAGAATTAAAATTCAATGTTATTTTCATATTTTTGTCATTGTGTGGTTTTATTAATACCATCAGCAGTTACTAAGGTATCTACAAAGTAATCCAACGGCAGACATAACTGTTGTGGAAAATAAAACCAACAGCGACATTGTTCAAATTTATGCTAAAAAGAGGTTGGAGAATTGGCACCCAGTTAATTATTGCTGGTGAATATTTCATAAACTGTCACAAAGATGAACAAAAAAACTATATCTCTGCAACAAAAGCTGTAATTTTCATGGATTTAAAATAGATAAATTAATGTTTTACATATAAAATAATATTGCTAGAAATTTCTTCCATATGCTAGCATATAATTTACTACTATCATTTAAATATCCGTCTCGTTTTTAGCAAGCATATTTTGAAGTATTTGTTTAAGAATGAATGAAATTCCGATTTACACGAGGGAGTTTTAAAAATATACACATGCATTCTTTAAGAATTGAGTGTTTTAAAACTCTGTTAACTTTGTGGTTGTGGCCGATTCTACTAGCTCCAATAGGTGTTATGTCTTCTGCAATAAAATTATTACTAACGACCCACCTGTGAACAGCCTTGAATTCACTAAAGGGTACGCCTCCATCAGCTGACGGACAATTTTCACAGCTGGGTCTAGTTCATCTTGTACGCAGAAAAGAATTTCAAACTGAAAAAAACAATTCATTCGTCCATCGGGATTTAAACTCAAGCTTAAATGCAAATTGCTTACTTCAAAATTGTATAAAGAATTTAGCATCATTCACGCTTGACGTAGCATACGCTAAAATGTTTACCACAATTTCGATTCTACTGCATAAAAATGAGATTCCCGTAAAAATGTAGGAGAACAGGAAAAAAAGAAAGAAAGGTGTGACCTTATCTCATTTCGCTACTTAACAAGGATGGGAAAAATTATGAGCGAATGATAACGATATATAGAGAAAACGTTCTTACCTTAGGGTAATTTAGTTCAAAAAATGTTTGGAGATTTTTTATAAGATTCGGTTCTTCCCCAACTAGAGGCTGAAAATTAAGAAAGGCAGAAAGCTGAATGAGATGAATAGTTCTCAAACACCAACTTGCAAAATTACAATATGACAATACCAAATTAAACAAGCCCTGCAGGGGAAGCATTGTCACAATTTAGGATTAAATTAGGCAGCTCGATCGTAAACATGCATTTTTAAACAAGCTCTAACCTTCAAAATTGAAACTCCCGGTAAATCTTTATTGTTAGCAACGGCGACCGACTTGTGGAGGTAAATTTTTCTAAACAAAGAAAACAATGACAATAGAGGAGATTGTTATTTCAGAGTACACGTTTGCATATCAGTTGCTTATAAAGAAACGCAAAGCCATGAAATTAATGAAAAGCGAACAACAAACATTTTACGACTACTTAACGCCAAACTACTTACCCAGTAGCTATAGATATTAACTGAAATAATGCCAACACTATCCATAGTAAAATAAAGAACATTGCTAAGAGATCCAACACATTAGGCGCATAAAACTCGTCGACATTAGCGAAAGGGGAAGCCATGTTGGATGATTGTAGAAACACGGCCAGCCCTAGGGCAGAGTCTTGTGATTGGCTCGTTCTGTCTGACTGGTCGCATTGATTGGATAGAATTTCCCGCCCTTTTCAAGCTCTTGAAGTCGCCTGCCGTGTTCAGGTGACGTGGCTTGCAATTTCTTCGACCCCTCTAGCTGTAAATTCCGTTGTACTAGACTTCCAATCTTCAAAAATTAAAAGCCATGTCTACAAAGTGCTTTTAAATAGTATTTACGGTGCAAGTAAAGATTTATGGCCCTCTATCTGCACATGAAGCACGACATGACCGAGAAAAAAGAAACAAACTGAGGCCCTGGGCGTGAACTAGTACCGGCCCTTTTCAAGAGGGGTGTAAGGGCGGATCCAGAAATTTTAGAAAGAGAGATATTTAAGAAACATGCATGTTTTAAAACTAAAACCCACAGTGTTTTTCATGTATTATCCACCGTGGTAAATGCCATAAAATCATAATGGAAAGTTTAAGAAACATGCATGTGTTAAAAATAAAACCCACAATGGTTTTCAAAGATTAACCATTCATGCATGGTTTCTTCTTAAAAACCATTGATGTTAAGTATTCGGCTTATCCATTAATGGTTTTGATTGTGATATATTACACAATAACCATTTAAAAAAACATTGATGGATTTTCGAATTTTTTTCCTGTGATACTAGCATGTTACATAAATACCATTATTTTATTCGCCAGTGACAGCAATCTGAGACCATCTGTACATCTGTGTCCAAAAAATTGAGCTTAAGAAGACAGATTCAGCCGAAAATTCGCTTAACACAGTTTCAGTTAAGAAAGAGAAGAAGGCCCCTTCCCCACTGAAGCCACTAGCTTTGTTACTCTTATATCAAATATGAATACAGTCAACTCTAGCTTAGTGGACACCTCTGGGGGAGACTCCCCATATGAAAGGGGTGGGGATGCTCGTTGGAAATTTTGAATTAAACCCCTAAAGGAGACCGATCTGGGCGTGGCCCAAGCTTTTTTTGACCCCTAAGAGACCATGTTAAAACACAGACAATATATATATTTTTATATTTTTTGGCGTGCAACCCTAAACGAGACCTTCACGGCTAAATATGATGGCCTTTTGCCAAGAACACCCTAACGGAGACCAAAATCCAAAATTTACACCCCTAAGCGAGACGACGAGCATCCTCACCACTTTCATATGTGGAGTACCCCCCCCCCCCCCCCCCCCCCCCCACCCCCCCCCCCACAACACACCACACAACCAACCCACCCCCAATGCTCCCCACCCACCTTCCCTCCCCCTCCTTCCTCAAAACAACTATCCCTCTGATATCACCCTATACTCTTCAAATATTCTATACACCTTAAAAATAACAAATCAAAAAAACAAGTAAAAAAAAAAAAAACTAGACACTCCATGTTAAAACACAGACAATATATATATTTTTATATTTTTTGGCGTGCAACCCTAAACGAGACCTTCACGGCTAAATATAATGGCCTTTTGCCCAGAACACCCTAACGGAGACCAAAATCCAAAATTTACACCCCTAAGCGAGACGACGAGCATCCTCACCACTTTCATATGTGGAGTACCCCCCCCCTCCCCCCCGGATGGAAACCTCTAAGATGGACAACTCTCACAGACAGACACCTGGTGTTGGTCCCTGCCTTTTTTCAGTCATTCTACTGTAATAAATTATACTGTCTAGAAGATGGATCCCTCTTTAAGAAGGACAATGGACACTTTTGAAACTGTCAACGGACAAAAATACCTCAAAATTGAAATGTAGGTGCTCTACATGACAGTAAATTGCAAATGTTTGATGTGTTATAGTTGTGCTTCAGTTTACAGAGTGTATACTGTTATGCTTTTAGACCTTGAAGAACGTTTGTTTGAAATGAACATTTGATTGCACAATGAGAAAAAAATTCCACTTTTCTGTTACAATTATGTTTCCAATTTGTGTGGTTTTGTACAAGATAAACAGACGTGTATACATTGCAAATAGGTTCAGCTTAAAAAATAAAGGTGTCAAGATACCTCGACCCTCTATAAGACACACACCTCTCTAAGAGAGACAGCAGGGCTGGTCCTGGTCCCAAAGGTGTCCGTCTTGGAGAGAGATGACTGTAATACACTACGATGATCCAAATATCATGGAAAAAAAAGTAATGAAAAATTTAAGTCTCAGATAAACTGACTTAATTAGTTCATAACTGGAAAATGGATAAGCCATGCATATTGTAAGAAACCACGATAAGATTACACAAAACAAAACAAAAAACATGAAGTTGAAATTTCTCGAGTCTTTAACTTTAATTTGCAAACCTCTTATACATTATTCCTCAGTGACAAATCATTATAATGTGCCACATTCCTAATGGCTGATGGTAATGCAAGTAATTAACCATAGACCCTAGGAAACTGGTTGTTTCAATGCAAAGTAGTTTTGATACATCTTGTTGAGATAAATTATGAACTTAACAAATTAACTTGCATGAACAAGAAAAATGTATGGCATGAATATTCAAATATGCAAAACTATTTTCACCTAGACTGAATCAAGATAACAATCAAAACAACTAATCAAAACTACATTGTTCCAAAATGATGCAGTAAGCTAATGCACTACAGTAGCCATTACAGTCCTTCATATTAGTGCAGCACCCACTCTCTGGCTAAAACAAGGTATCTTTGTTTGGCAACTTGGCCCTGCAGTGGTTGGGGGGGGGGGAGCTCTGCACTTATCACCTGTATCGGTAACTACATGTGCAATATTACTTCCCTCAAACAAAATTTTCTGCCTCATTCAACCTGTGAATGAAAAATATCAACCACACTTCCTCTCAGTGAGAGTTTGGGCTGCCTGTGGAATAACATTGTTTAGGAGTCGAAAGGTAGGGGAGGATTCAGAGCATACTTAATCTTTCTTTACAGTAGCTTTGCAATTTTTTGCTATTTTTCATTACTGTAATTAGTTATTTCCATTTTCATTATTTTTCATTAATTTTCTTTCTCCAAGGCATCCCGTATATCAGGATCTTTAATAACAATTTTCTGCCCTGGCTCAAAATAAATCTTCAATGCTTGTTCACTAGCTAGTCCATTTTCCAGTGAACTTATTATATCTTCTATTGTTTTACACATGGCTTCATATACACTGCTGATAAATTTGTTTTCTCCCTCTTCATTTTCATCTTCAGGTCGAGAATCTAAAGGATAGGACAAAGCATTTTGATTCTTGTTAAAATAATTGGGAAGGAACCTGTTTTGAATTGCAGACAAAAGCTTTTGAAAGATTGTTAAAAGATGTGTTGATAGTTCATCTGTCCTCCAAAACTTTGAATCCGGGAATTGTTCACATTCATAAAGAAATAAAGTTTTCAAGGCATATGTTTTTAAAAATGCATCTCCAAGCTGGTCGACTGGTGTGACAAGATTGCGGATTATTTTCAGCAGCCTGTAGCACACATTGCTTGCATCACTCTCTTTGAACCAAAAACAGATGATCTTATTTTCTAGAACACTACATGTTTGCTTCCATGTGTCATCTAACAGGCGACAATACAACAATTCATGACTGGCATCAGCACATAAACCAGATTTTACTGTTGGATGTTCCCTTGGTAATCGTTTGTCAAGATTGCAAAATGATGGTAGGCCCCTCATAGCAATTACGTAGGTCACATCAACGGATATGTTAAGGTTAGGGTAGTATACTCCTTTCCAGTTGAGTAACAGTGTAAGAGCTGGTCCAGAGAACTTAAAGCTGGCCAGAAATTCTTCCCCTCCTTCGAGTGTCCTTCTTACAGATTTTTGAGATGTGGTAAGTGAGATGCCATCTGACAATGACATTGTTGCTAAGCAACTGCAAACAGCATCACGGTATTCACTGTCAATTGTTGCTTGTAATAGTGTCTGTTTATTGGCAGCATCATCATCCGATTCCAAAACACTTTGCGGATTCCAATTCAATTTTGTGTCGTCGATCTCTAGAGAAACCAAATGTGTGTACTCTGGATCTTCAAATGGCTTACAAGAGCACACACCTGGGTGAGAAAACTTGTTTAAAACCAACAGGAAATCAAATTCATCTGGTGCATTGATTTTACTGTTGTGATAAAAACTACCACAATGGACAACAGAGTTAGAAAGGATGGGATTCAGTTCCCCTATCCTATTTGAAATCTGATGAACGATTCCCTCTATTTTAGATTTTATCAGTCGCACTTCATCATTTTTGTAGTCCACACTGTGAAGTCTGTCTAGTTTCATCAGTGTGTCTTCAATATTGGAAGCCATCCTGTTTCAGTTTTCATTCACTCTAGATTCCTCATATCAGGTATGATTAAAACGTTCCACAGTAATGGACTGCCCAGGTATCATCGAGGTAATCAAACACGGAAGTTGACAATCTCCATTGCTGATAAGGGAAGTGAATCGAAGTCACATTTGCCAAACTGCAAAGACACAACTGATTCTTAACTTGCCAGATTCTCCTTAAGAAAGAAACTTAAAGTCATCTTCAATATGTTGAACAAACTTGTACATACATCTACATAGCCTGATTCCTCTCTCAATATGGAGTCTATGTGCCTGCGAGGCAGCGGAAAGCGGGTAGTTTGTTTTAGGTAGGTACGTAGTATATGACGACACGCACAAGAAATGAGCAAATGAGCATCTTTGCTTTGCATCGCTAATTCGCAATTTCTTTACAATTTTCCTCTGATCGCTGTAATATGGAGTGGGAAAGCAAGTTTTCTTCAATAGTACGTGAAACAGAGACGAATTTAGCGAGAGTTCGGGTGAGAACAGCTAAACGATGCGGATCGCGGTCACACATTCCTCCACAGTAAATAACGCAAGCGAAGCCAGCGTCGTCGCGAGAAAGGAAACTTTATATATACCCGATTTATTTTTCTCCTAACAAGCATCTACATCTGATAAATTTGTCAACCCGTAATTCTTTAGATTTCTTTTAAACCTCTAGATTTGATTTTAATGTATTTACTTTAGGACCGCCTGGGTTCTTCAAGCAAAACAAAAGAATCGGGTCGGTCAAGAGGAAACCATTTTGGCGGTAAGTGTCTTGTTTGTTAATCGAGCCGTTAAATTGAGAGTTAGGCCATTTCGATTCTATAAATTATGAAAGCTTCCTCTTTAATCTTAAGCCTGAAAGACATTTCAACAATTTTTAGGGCATAGTTAGAAATTAGTGCACCGTTGGAATGCTTTAATAGTCAATTAATTGCGTTGGATAAATTATTGAAAAAGGGCGTAATTTTTGCACCGTAAGTGTGTTTACACAAACTTATTGTGAACAACTACAACTCTTAAGATCCCGAACCGTGAAACCAAGGTCGTGACCTTCGAATGGACAAACCACAGTGGGTGACTTAATAAACCAATCATCGTAAGTAACAAACCCTGGGGTGTGCAGTGTGTACATGTTCTACAACTTGAAGCTTTTTACTGAGAGGCTGACACCTTGGACCTCCTTATAACCCTTCTATATACCATTTTTGGCAGAAAAGGTACCCCTTTCATGTGCTGTAAATTCTATTGACAAATGGTACCCCCTTCACATACCTAGTTTAGAACTTATGCCCTCCATTTAACTGCTGTAAAAGCACTGTCTGTGAAGTGTGAGTACACCACAAAACCAGATTTTTCCGCGTATTGTAAACACGTTGTGAATCAAATTAATGCGGAATGCCTTTTTTATACAGACTAAAATGAGAGAATTCCCTACCCTATCATACACGTCAACTTAAGTGAAGTCCATACTCTTCATATATCTGAAGCCTGCAAAAGGTACCCCTTTTGTGTGGAACTTACCCATATAGGCGTTTATAGGGACTATTTCCCCAGGAGATTGTGGACAATGCGCTGTACCTCTAGCCCTTAAATACAGCTATCTCTCATCCCAAGATGTTTTGGGAGATAGCATAGATGGCTGTGTTTCCATGTGAGAAAATCCATTAGGCTGTTTCTCATGGCTGGACAGAGCCGTAGTTGGTTTCTTAATCAGAAGTGTAGAGCGTTACGATCTAGTGAAAACAGTATTCTGATTCCACTTATGACTCCTAAAAAGAAGTTTTATGCTAGTCACTGTTGGACTTAAAAAGTGAAGGTTGCTGTCATTCTATCAGGAAATTTTACAAAACTGCTTTCTGTCTTATTTGATAGCGTCCATAAGTCCAGGGAACCTTCGATCTCAGACTTCCCGAAGTCCTCATATTTCAGCTATGGCTTGGGATAAACTCAGCCCTGTGAAAACTGTTGGCATGGCAACTAGTGTTCCCTCAAGTCAGGCATCACCTGCTCTTGTTAATGCATTGTTTGAAAGGGTTGAGGAGCAAGCTGAGGTGAGAACTTTTACAATAATAAAAAATAACGATAACGATAATAATAATGGTAATAATAATTCAGGGAGGCCCTCACTTAGATTAGACAATATTAAAATAGTTTTTTCTACTACTGGGGAGCGGGGATGGCGCAGTGGTGAGAGCACTCACTTTCCACCAATGTGGCCTGGGTTCGATTCCTGGACTCAACCTCATATGTGGGTTGAGTTTGTTGTTGGTTCTCTTCTCTACTCCAAGAGGTTTTTCTCCGGGTACTCCGGTTTTCCCCTCTCTGCAAAAACCAACATTTCTAAATTCCAATTCGATCCAGAATGCTCGGGCGTTTAATACATGAGCCCCTGGCTCGGGAGATTGGGCAACCGCTCCTCACGCTATCGAGCTTAAACAAATTGATTTGATTTGATTTGATTACTACTGTAAAAAGGGCAACAAAAAACATTCAACTTGTCTAAGTTGCAATATTTGCTTGGAAACGAGTTGAATACCGATGTTCAGTGTGCAAAGAAATTAGTGTCCGATAGCCCGGGGCTAGTGGATTTTGCTATCGGGCTAGTGAATTCTGTTCTTAACTTGCCCGATGGGCAAGTGAAGATTTTTGAGGAATTCAAATTACATAAGAACTGTGTAATCAATCCTGCTTATCAAAACATTTTGGGGCTAGTTGAAGTGAATTTTGGGCTAGTGCATGCCAGCTACAGCTTGCCAGAATGGCAACCTGTAAAACTGACTTTCTTTGCACCCTGGATGTTGCACTTTTTACCACCTACATCAAATCTGTCTTTCAATAAATGAGGTTGTTAACAGGTTTGACCGTGGTTGATAAGATGCACGGCATCACTTTTCAACTCATTTTGTTGCAGTGTCGTAAAACAAGTGCACTTTTTGTTGCTTATTCTACCCAAAGCTTTAATAATAGAATCAAACTTTAAAACTCAACTGTCATGCAAATGTTGAAGGCTAAAATAAAAAGTTTTACAAACTAAAAATGTTTGGCAATTTATGTTTATGTCCAGCTTAAAAATTTGAAAATTTATGTATTAAAATGTGTAACCTACTATTCCATTTCAGCTAGTGAGTCATTTAAGTGACACCGTCAGGGGACTTGAGAAAGAGAGAGAAACTCATGCTGCAGAGATCAAGAGAATGAGAGGTACATTCTTGTAACATACTACAGCTGTGTTTACTATCAAAGTCACAAAACTGTTAGCACTCCCCCTCTCACCAAAAAAAGATCATTCACATTTGAATTTTTGCTTAGCTCATGTGACCATTCCGAGTGCCCTGTTTGGTGTGTAACTTTCCTTCCCTTCTTAGACAGGCAATAACAGCAGTTAAAATGCTCTAAAGCTGCCAGGATAAGACTCTATTGAAACATCTCTGCTTCAGCTCAAATTATCATCAATTAAATAGTGACCTCCTTGATTTGCCATGCTGAAAAGTTCTTCTGCAAGCATTTGTGATCTTTTTTAAACTGCAAGACATTGTTTTTCCCTCTCCCTAAAGGAGAAAAAGTCTCGTCACCAAATGGGGTGCTCAGAATCTGTGCCTGTTGGCAAAACCGGCAGGAAGTGGTCAGGGGAAAAATCACCAACAGTTTTAAACTGAAATCAATTTTGACCTGTAACATGTGTCTTATCTGAGATATACTTTCTACTCACCAGGGTTGTCATTAAGAGCTGGGGGCCGGGGATTTTCCCCGGCTACTTAGAGAAAAATAGGAAAATAGGAAAATAGAAGAAAAATAGAACCAAAAGAAATCCCTAGCCATTTGATTCCCCGACTACTTGCCGTATTTACCCGGCAACTTGAAATCTTAGTGACAACCCTTACTCACTTTCTTAATTGGTTTATCACATAAGGCTTACTGTCCTTATCTCCTTGGGAACATAGCATAACAATAATTATCTGTTTTACGTAATAAATTTTCTCACTCAGATGAAATAAACAGACTGAATGAAAGGCTAAGAGAAAAGGGAGTAGACATCGAAACAGAACGAAAGTTAGAGCAAGTGAGTATTAAAAGAAAGATTGCTAAATCTCTTTCATTATGCTTTAATTCAGTCGTTTACTTACATGTAGAGCACAATGTTCAGTAGCTCTGGGCAATAACTTTGCAGCTGAAGGAGTGTGAAATAAGTCATTCTTGATGCACTGTCAAATTCTCCCCAGTTCCACAAGCAAGTATGTCGAACAGCACCTCAGAAAAGCAACTATTTTCTGTGTTGTAGCTCTCTTGAAGTTTTAATTTTTGACTCTGTTAATTTTTTATCAATAGAAATTTAATTTGAACCTTACCTGAAGAATCTTTTCTCGCCCTGTAGGTTGTAGTGGCAAAATGGTTTAGAATAATAATGGAGACTCATCTAATGTGTTTTAAATGATATTATTATTGTTGTTTTTCTTTGGTAGTTTAAGCGTGATGTATATAGCCAGCTGGAATTTGTCCAAAGCCAATCCAAGTTAAGACAGAGTACAAGTGAAAACTCCCATGGCAGTGATCCGTCTGTCATCAATGAAGCGTTAGTGTTAACAAACTTCACCCTGTAAATCACTTAAAACGATTTGTAGAGTTTTACTGCACTAAATTATAAAAATTTTCCACTTTTTTTAAATGACAATGTCCAGTTTGATGGCAACAAGATATGAACAATACAACTTTCATAATCTTTTTTTAGGAGAAGAATTATAGAAGACGAGACAGAATCTTTACAAAGAGATATTGAACATCTTAAAACAAAGATGGGTAAGGAAAACTTATTTTTTCGTCATATTAATCAATCAGTCAGTCATTGAATTAAAAGTAAGTGAGCAAGTTAGTGTGTTTGTCAGTCAGTCAATTAAATAGTCAGTCACTCAATTAACTCAGACAAATTAGTGTTTCTGTCAGTCAGTCAATCAGACAGTGAATCATCCAATGAACTCAGACAGTAAGTTATGAAATCAGTCAGTTATAAGATACCAGTGTGTTGCAGTAGTCGGTCATTAGACTGTCAGTTGCTTACGTTAGTCAGTCAAAAAACTGAGTCAGCCAGCCAGCAGTCAATCAGACATTATTTTAGTAGATCTTCTGTTACAAATTTTAGTTACCAGGGTAGTCAGTCTTCAATCAGCTGTTCAGATCCCAGTCATTCAAAAGGTGGATAGTGCTATCCACAGTGGATAAATCGCTGTCCGGTGGATTATGCAATTGGTTTCCCTAATACTTATCCACTAAATAGTGATTTATCTGATGGATAGCACTATCCAACGTTTGAACAACCCAGACCAGTTGGTTAGGTTGGTAAAGTGAAAAGTCAGGCCAGTTTGTCAGTTGGTCGGTCAGTTATTTCAGTCAATCAGTCAGTTGCAAAGTACAGTGTATGAAGTTAACCAGCCAGGCTTACAGTCAGCAGCTGGCTGCGTCAGTCAATCCGTCAGTCAGTCAGTCAGTCAGGTTAGCCAGTCAGTCAATCAGTCAGTTAGTCAGTCAGTCAGGTTAGTCAGTCAGTCATTTAGTCAGTCATTCAGTCACATTAGTCAGTCAGCCAGTCAGTCTTGAAATCTGATTCATTTTGGTAATCAGTCAGCACTTGTATTTCTACCCACTCAACTGGTGCAACAGTAAAAACTATTAATGTCAGCAAGTACAACATAGATATTTTCAAGCCAATAGACCTGATTCTAATTAGTATAATGTATAATTTCTGAGTAGGTGATTTTAACATGTATTATTTTTGAATAAATGAAATGTAGGAAAGCTGGAAATTGAGCTCCACTCATCACTTAGCGACTCAAGAGATGTACTTCGTAAACAGGAAAGGCTGGACAGAGTAAGAGCATTTTACTTAAACTTCTAAATAATAATGACATCAGTATGATACTTTATAACTTTTTCATCAATTCTTGTTGACTGAGTTTAAAACATGCAAGGAAACAATGTTGCTTGTTTGTTGGCATCCTTTCACAGGTTCTGTCGTCACTTTCGGAGAATCAGCGCTCACAGTCAAGAAGCTTAAGCAGTATAGTTGATGAGAAGCAATCAGATTCATATGAAATACAGCAACTTAAGTAAGTTACCCATATTCTTTTCTTAGTGTGAGAAACCTGTAAGTGATTTTGTTATGAAATAATGTTAATAATAATTATGTGCTCATTTTTACCATGGAAATAGGAGGAGTTTTGTTCTGAAAAAAACCTGTGATTGTGCTGTGTTTTACTTGCAGGCATCTTGTAAACCAAGTTAGACGACAGTTTTCTGATCTGGAGTCTGAGTTTCAGTCCAGCGTCAGAAATTCAGGAGTTTCAAGTTAGTGAAGACAATACTTTTTCAGCATGAATATTTGAATAAGATAATTACATTAAGTTTGAATTTTCCTGAAAATTACCCCAAAGAGGTTTAATTTATTTTAAATTTACTTTCATTGGTAGATTTATCCTTAATCTTGTTTGGAATCATCTCTAAAAAATGTATTTAGTAACCAATTCATTTGTGTATTCCAGTTATTTTCCATACACACTTCATTAACTATAATATTATGACTATGTGTGGAAAGAAGATGGTCATATTACTTTATAAATTTTCAACAGGTAATAATTCATCTGTGAGGCAGTCCCAACTGCGTGCTTCAACACAAGCAAGATTTATGAATGGTGATGCAAAATCAAAACGGAAAGGAACTAAACATAAATCCAAGGCAGCAGTGGATGATCTTGTTCTGTCAAGCAGTAGTGATAATGATCTGAGTTTGACGACACTGGATGTTAGCAGTCCTAGTGACTCAGAGCTAACGTCATTGAAGCTTGACAGGTCTCACAGAGGTAAAATTGGCTGATAGGTAGTTTAATAGACCCTTCCTGTTTTTTTTTTCAAGTTTTGATAAAGACCATTTTTCAAAAATTTAATATCCATTGATGCTGCTGGAAATAGCATCTTAAAATTAGGAAACTTGCCAAGTTGAAAGGTGAAAAGATTGCTCCACAAAATCAGGAAATTTTACATAGATGTTTGTATGGTGGGGGGCACAAACTTCACCCCCACCATGAAAACGTCTTTATCTTTGTTAGTATTCAACAAATCACATTCAAACTTGGTATTTTAACTATAAATTTTAAGGCCTTCTTTTTAGCCTTGTTGACAGATTTTTTGTGGTGATGGACTTTTTTCAAAAGTAGAAAAAACTATGGAGGTGTCTATTTTGGTGAATAAAATAATGAAAAAGACTTCTGACAGAGAAGTTTCTTGGCTGCCATGACCTTTCTTTTTCCCTTTTATTCCCAAAATTTCCAGTTAATAATCAACATTATTTTTTTTTCTGTAAAATGCTGGAAAACTAGTGGTACCATATGACTCAAACTTTAAACCACATATTACAAAGCAAACAGTGAAGTAACATGTAAAAGTTCTGCTTCATAGGTTTCATTTGAGCGGTCATAGCATCGCATATGTAAAAAAGTTAATGCCAAGTAAAAGTTCTACCAAAGAGCTTTCTTTAAATTTAAGTAATGGTCCGTGTAAAAGGTAGGCAGGCGAACGGCAAAAGTGATTAAAAGGTGCTAACTTTTAATCATTAATTTCAATTAAATCAAGCGTTCTGATTGGCCGAAATCCAAAAATCGCCAAAAAAAGAGTCAGAAACGTGACAAAAACACCTTTTTTTAGCTTTATTTTCCCCATTCCCCTGTCTTATACCTCACGGCCAAGTTTCAGCATTGTTCTATGCGCCAATCAAAAGTTAGAGTGGAAAACGTGCAACACACGCGCGACCTAGTTGTGACCCCATCTTAGTGTGACACTTGAGATGTTAGGAAATTTGTCTTTTACCCGAAGAAATCTCGTCAATTTCTTCGTGAAAAATCTGCATTTTTTCTTTATTGAATATTTATCTCAAATTTACTGTATTTTATCATCGGAGTGATCGTCAAAATGCTCTAAACATGGTTTGCTGCCGTCCTCGACATGCCGAGTCGCCATGTGGGAATTTGGGCCCGGCGTAGTTGTTTTCGTTGTCAGGCCGGATCAGGAGGAGATCAGAATAATTGTGGCACTAGAAATTGGAGTACAGCTGGGCATAAAAGGAGAAAGCGAAAGATTTGTTGTTTTTACAAGGATGAATTTATTTCTCGAAGAGATGTAGAACACTTGAGCTTGAGGTAAGCTGAATTCAATAGATTTTCGCACCTCCGCGCGCATTATGTGTTATTCATGTGTTTGCCCCTTTCGAAACTTCCATATTCCGTGTATCTTTACCCATCTTTCATTCGATTTTTTTTCTCTCTAGACTGCTTCATCAAGCGAAATGGAAGTTCGCCGTGGACCTTAAGTTAAAATGAGCGAAAT